AGTGGTGAGTGGTTTTACTTACCCCAGTAGTGTATACACCTTAAAATGGGAGCATATTTCGATTTAAAATAGGCCCCCAGCAATGCTATGTTTGTTTGTTGTTTAACGCCGCAGTATTCCAGCTATATGATAGCGTCTTGTGCATAATCGAGTTTGGACCAAACCAGTGGTTGATATTGTGAGCAACGTTAGACGCCGTTGGTGAGTGAGTGAGTGAATATTGCTTAACGCCGCATCAGCAATTTTGCAGCTATTCGCGGCGAGACGCCGTTGGGGTACGATGACACGTAATCAGCCATGTCACTGAGCCTGGCCACCGATCTATTTGGTCGTCTCCAGCCCAGACTGCTATTCGAGCCCGAAACCCCAAAGGGAGACAAGCAAAAGTTGTTAGGAACCTGTTGTAACCCGGAATTCCCCCGAGGAAACAAACACAGGTTGCTGGGAACCTATTCTCACTCGGAATCCCTACGGGATAACGCAATGTGTCTTGGTTGATTTTGTGTCACCGTATCGTGGAACGTTGCTTTTGTAGAGGTTTGCCACAGCACAGAGTTGCATCTCTTGTGCGTGTCAGGATCCGCTGGTTATAGTTTAGAATCCCACATTCAAATAATCCTTTGGTTGCCAGCACCATAGCCGTGCTCGTGGGTTTTACCAAAGTGATACCCGACCTGCACCAGGATAGGCATATATTTGTAATCATCCTAAAGTGTAATAAGTAAAAGAGTATGTTTATTTGTGTCTTTGTTGTTTTGTTTAACGCCGCAATATTCCAGCTATATGACGGTAGTCTGTCAATAATTAAGTCTGGACCAGACTACCCAGTGACTGACATCATAAGCATCGATGAACGCAACTGGGATACGATGACATAACCACCCGATCCATTTAGTCACCTCTTATGACCAGCATGGGTTGTTTGGGACCTATACTCTTACGCAGAATAAAAAAGGTGGATCGGGTATGTCAGAGTAAACATACTGTAACACAATAACGTACCCATTTATTGATGTCTTTTCGACATAATAATACGACAATACGCACCCTTCCTATTCCGAAAAGCTGTATCCGCTCTTTATAAGCTGACACGCCAACCATTGCTGTCCTGTCAAAGTGTGGATTTTATTCACACTAATTTACAATTCAAAACGACCGCTTTATGATTCTTTTGCAGTCTTAATGTGTGGAATCATTTATAGAAACATGAATCTCTTTTCAGACTTATGCCCCTAGAATGAAGTGACCTCCAACATTAGTTCATTAGGTTTTTTTTTGGTCCAATATGATGGAACGGTAAGTCAAAAATGGAATGTTTCATCCCTTGATGTGTGTTCGACGTCTCGAGATATGAGTGCAGTTTCATTAAGAATATTTGATAGTTCTTATTTCTGCTCCGAAAACAATATAATCACAATATAGATCCTCTTCTGTCAGAAACAAGGGATGACGAGGGGAAAGATGGAGGTATGAGATGAAAGGGGGAGGTACTCAGCCCGCCTGTGTGTGCTGGTGTAGGATCTTCCCGTGTATGTAACGTATACGAGTATCAGTCAGTCATGCGGCTGATTCCCACAGCCAGGTATAGCATATACCATAGTATACTTGTCTCGCTTCATGATCAGTATACTGAAGTATATATACTTGTCTTGCTTCAAGATTAATATACTAAAATACATATACTCGTTTCGCTTCAAGATCAATGTATGAAGCATATATATTCGTCTCGCTTCATGATCAATATACTGAAGTATATATACTCGTCTCGCTTCAAGATCAATGTACTAAGCATGTATACTCACTCGTCTTGCTTTTACGTAAAAATACTGAAATATATATATTCGCTTGATTTAATGTCAAAATACTGTAGAATATATACTCGTCTCGCTTCAAGCTCAATATACTAAAGTAAATGTACTCGTCTCGCTTCAATATCAATATACTAAAGTGTATTTAATTGTCTGGTTTCAAGATAAATGTACAAACATATCAATACTTGTCTGACTTCAAGATCAACGTACAAACATATCTATACTTGTCTGGCTTCAAGATCAATGTACAAACATATCTTTACTTGTCTGGCTTGAAAATCAATGTACAAACACATCTATACTTGTCTGGCTTCAAGATCAATGTACAAACATATCTTTACTTGTCTGGTTTCATGATCAATGTACAAACATATCTATACTTGTCTGGCTTGAAAATCAATGTACAAACGCATCTATACTTGTCTGGCTTCAGGATCAATGTACTAACACATCTATACTTGTCTGGCTTCAAGATCAATGTACAAACATATGTATACTTGTCTGGCTTCAAGATCAATGTACAAACATATGTATACTTGTCTGGCTTCAGGATCAACTGAAGAATAAAATGGTCTTGCTTCAACAACATCTTCAAGAGCTTCTTGTCCACTAAACAGAGTCGTTTTACGATGTTGACGAAACACACCAACTTGATTCCGCCACTACCATGTTCAACCAATATCTTATCGCAGGAAACACGGGGGAATCAGACGAGCTGGTAGGTTTATGCAAGAAACCTTCATGAGTTAGCTCCCTTGCGTTGAAACACGTTGCCTCGGTCAGGCAATACATTTAACAGCATGTTCTTGCTGTCACTGAAAACACACCATGTCAACCGAGCTGGGTGTTGATAATTGACAAAGTTGCTGTTTCAAGAACCATGCGCGGTACCTTGGTGACCTGTAGGAAATCTGGTTCTAGAACAGGTCCTCCTTGTCATAAGAGGCTACTTAACGGATCGGGTGCTCAGACTCTACGATTTGGTTGATTGCGTGTCTTTGCGTCCAGACAGTGTGGATCGTTTGCTTATAACATCAGTCAGTTTTTTTTGTTTACAGGACGCTGTCATACATCTTGGACATTGCCGAATGAGGCCGTAAATATAGTACCTTCGTACCAATATACTTAAGAGTATAGGAGCTTTGTGTTACTAAAATGCGAAGTCGTAGTTATGTATTGCTCTGTTTTCACTATCCGACATCTACTGGTCGCCTATACATACATATGCATGTACATTGTACAATGTGTAGCGATGGGTAGATGTTGGAGAGGCACGGGTGACCCAGTCGTCTAAGGTGCCGCAATCCCTGCGTCCCTTGGACATGCCAGAAACCTATGACTGTGGGTTTGAATCGTGGTTGTTTCTAGGTTTGTCAGCACCATACCTGTGCTCGTGGGTTTCACCAAAGTGGTAAACATCTAAGACCTGTTTCACTACGGGCTGTCGTCCCACATCAAGCTGACATGCCGTGATATAACTGGAATATCGTTCAAAGTGGCGTTAAACCCAACTCCCACTCAGTAGATGTTGGATAGTAAAAGCGTAGCCATATAAAGCTACGGTTTCACAGGTATATGTTTACTGTCAAACGTCTAAGACTCGTCTGATCATAACGTAATCAGAATAATGACGGATTGTTTTGAACTGAAGATCGAGTTAATGAAGTTTCACAGTACCGACCGCTTTAATAATGTTAAACACTTTTTCATTGAGAGCTTTTTAGAAGCCTACGTATGGAGAGACTGGTATTATGTAATGGGTAATTGAGGCTGCCTATTCCAGGTTAAAAATAGAATAAATCTATTGCAAGTGTTTCTGTGGCATTTATTTGGCTAATCAAGCACCTTTTTCGTTTGTCTTCATAAACCGAAAATACACCAGGCCGCGTCCACAAACGGACTACTATTTCCTTTTAAACTGATAATGAGTGAGTGAGTTGGGTTTAACGCCGTTTTTAACAGTATTACAGTTATATCGCGGAAAGCCCATAGTGATGCAGGTCTCAGACGTTTACCACTTCGGTGAAACCCACGAGCACGGGTATGGTGCTGACTTACCTAGAAACATAATCGGGGAGAACCGGGATTCGAATCCATAAACATAGGTTTCTGGCGTGGCCAAGGGACGCAGCTCTGCACAGCGAATCGCGGCGCCTAAGACGACTGGGCCACCCGTGCCCCCTCGCTGATAATGAAATGACAGGGCTTGTGTTGCGTGATTGCGCTGAACCATGTCACGGATTCGTATTGTCTAGTTCATATAACATCTGACGTTAATATTTTTGACGTATGTATTTATACATAATGACGTCAATATCTTTTTACGTTTGAGGATATGAGCGTAAAATCCGATACGCACAGCATGTGTACACGGTATGTACAGGTTTAAAAAAGAAGAAGATTTTACCTTATAAATGCAAAACTATATTAAAGTTAATAAGTATTCGTTATTTTTCTTTCGATTTCCGAGAAAAGCTTTATTTCAAGCTGCTTGGCAGATATGATGACGCGTACAACCATCTGCGTCCACGAAGAACCAGGGATGGTAAGGCTCCTTCTCCACTTCAATGGGTGCAAAACGCAACACAAATGTCCACTGACCAGTATGTCAAATATATGAGTGTTGTGTTATCTCAACTCTGAACCTGACAAACAAGTGCTTGATATTGAGAGTTGGTTGGGTGGTTTGTTGTTTTACGCCGCACTCAGCTATATTACAGCTATATGACGGCGGTCTGTAAAATAATCGAGTCTGGACCAGACAATCCAGTTCTTGATATCATGAGCATCGATCCACGCAATTGGGATCGATGACCTGCATCTACCAAGTCAGCAGCCTGACCACCCGATCCCGTTATTCGCTTTTTACGACAAGCATAGTCGCCTTTTATGGCAAGCATAGGTTGCTGAAGACCAATTCTACCCCGGATCTTCACGGGTCGATATTGTGAGTAACACTCAAGCATTGATTGGTATGATGACTCACATACTCAACATAGTCAACAGTCTGACCACCCAGTCCACTATTGTGCTGACAAACTTTGAAACATAATCAAGGCGAACCGGGATTCGAGCCCCTAATCATAGGTTTCTGGCGTGCACAAGGGATGCAACTCTGCACAGGGAAACATGGTGCCTTAGACCACTGGGCCAGCCATGCCCCCCTAATATGTGACAATGACCGTTAACAAAGGTTTATGTGTAGGTTTTATTGAATTGTCTCCAAAAAATAAAATAAATCACATGACCAAATGCATACAGCATGCCATTGCATAGCTAGATACCTATTTGCTAGCTTAAAAAGATTCAAAAGTCACAAACTTGTTTTGTTACATAAAAAATTGTCAAAAAGAAAATATATATTTATATATGTCATGAGCGCATTAGATGTTCATACTCAATACTTCACTTGCTTGTATTCACTACCATCCTCCATCATCTGTGAATACATACAACTGATGTGCTGTGTAGTCACGATTTTAACAAATGAATCAAGACAAGACTTGGTTTCAGCAAGAGGAAAACCAGTCGGTGCCAAGACCATTTTGCACAAGCAATATTTCCCCATGCAATATCTGACACAGCCTTGTGGACTAACTGCTTCAGTATCAGGCAATGGTGGGGCTCACAGAGTAAAGCTCATTTCATGTCAAAGCTCATTTTATTAGTTCACATGCCCTACACTGGATCGCAGTTGTGAGTATTCACTGATGAGGAACGTATACAGGCCTGTGAAATATTGATGATGTGGGATGCACTGAAGTAATCTTATACACAATATAACGATCACACCTTACTGCTTAAAACTGCACTACATCAATGATCGATCACACACAGGGAAGTCACACACTGAAAAATTCTGATTAATTGTAGTACCTTTTGACTCTGTATATGGGCCTGATTATCATACAAATACTCAGTCTTCTGGAGTAGAACTCAGTTTAAACAAAAAATGACGTCAAATAAAAAATGCCAAATAATATTGTGTGTTCAAAGAACTGAAACAACCGAGAAGCTTATACCACAATAACAAAACAAACACAGCGCATGTAAGCACTGAGAATGTAACACATGCAACAATATAGCACTAATGTGTCATCAGTTGGAAGGGTAGCATCACATTTCCATTAGTACTATGTGCAAACGATTCGCAAAATACCAACACTCAGTGACAATGAAACAAATACCAACAGCCAGTGCAAGAGATTCATTCCAAAATCCGGTAAGTCAACAAACGAGATATCAAAGTTTGGAGAGACTACATACCAAACAATCTCATCTTAAACCGCACACAAAACTGGTATACTAATAATGCCACTGTCAACATTATTTTGGCCACATCAAAGCGGTTTGTAAATGCTCGTGGACCTGGCAAAAAGCCATTGAAAGCATGACCGACAATCAACCTTCAGAGTATGTTGACAAGCCATGGAGGTGAGTAAGTGTTGTTTTATTCCTCAATGCTATTACGAATACATGCTTGAGATATTACAGCCTGTGATTGAGCAAGTCGGTCAAAGCAGCATCTCATGTCATCTGGGTACGATGGCTCACAATAAAATCATATTGAAACAACCAAACCTCACTTTAAGAGGAGATTTGTTAGCAGTTCTCATCAAGCTGTATGAGGCTGCCCTGTAAATATTAGAGTCTGGACAAGACAAACCTGTGATTGATATTATGAGCAACCACCAGCGAGGTCGGGGTACAATAACACGTGTCAACTAAGTCACCAGCCTGACCACAGATGAATTAAACTGCCTCTTCCATCCATAGGACCAATTCTAACCAGTCCCCATGGGGGGTTTATGATAATAATTATCTACATGGGACTGCCCCGATTCTCAACAGGTTTTGAAGACAATCTGGAGTAATGAACCTGCAATTATCAGATTCTCTGGGATGAAGAGTTTTCATCCAGAGCTGTTCCACAAAGCTAAGACGATGACATTTCTTTCAATATGGGCTTGTAACAGTTGTAGTGCTACGATAGCGTTGTGGAACATGGCCCTGGGCGGTATTAGAGTTAAATTACCCTTCCCAAATAATAATATACTTTTTAATCCCCCACCAAATACATGTCATTTCAACCAAAACCAGTTCACAACCATTCACCTTAACCTATGTTAACTGTGTAGCTTTCTACCCAACCACCTTGATGTCACCCTCACAAATATAATGGAATCCAAATTCATAGCACTTTTGGCACCATTCATAACAGTCAACTCACTAACATGCACCAACACTGGCAAAACACAAACATTTTTCAGATAGACTTTCAATCTTTGGCCACTCAGTAAATACTGTCAACATGAAGATGAAAATAAATTAGAATTCATCCAAGTATCTTTGGCAACATATCATGTCATCACACTAACATGACACTGTTGGGAATGAGTAGTATTTTAAGCCACCTAGTATAGTATCTCGATCATAGGACTCTTCAGCTAAATAAGTGAAGTAAACTCACAGTGACAAAGGACAGTACTTAAGAGTGGGTCTTGGGGTCTTTGAGACTTGATGCTACAGTATTTAAAAATGAGGACCCTCGAAAATATTTTAACATTAACATTAGACTTATGACACGGTTTTCATACTTAATTCTACCACTGTAGACATTCAGCACTTGACCCAAGAACACTTGTGTGGTGCTGACAGACCAAGGACTGGGAGGAAGGTGAGGTTCAAACCACGACCACAGATCCTGGTATAGTTAAGGGACATAACTCTGCACAATGAATCATAACAGGTTAGACCATCTTGCTTACATTGGAAGACAAAAATTACATAAAATTTGTGCTATAAATTTCGGGAACATAATGAAGGATCATGTTTCCCAATTTTTTTGAGCATTTTGAAATAAAAAATAATGGTTGAAATGGTAGATGCAGCAACACTAATATTGATTATATCTGTGCTGTTTAGTTCCATGTGAGAATGTGTACTTAAGACACTATACAGAGAAAAAGAAACCTGTTGACTCATTGTCTTCTCCCAAATGGCCAGGTATGATATTGACTGTGTTGGGCCAAATGGAATTTCCAAAAAGGAGTAGAACTGATGTTACAGTAATCATTTGATAATACTACTTATCAAAAGCAAAAATACTTTTGGCACTTCTAGAGTCCAAGACCATTTTAATTTTGACACATAATAAATTGATTCGTTGTGGCCTAATGGAAGGTTGCGATGGAATTCAAAAATATGTGTTGGAATCTTGACTAGAGTCTGCCGATCACCATGGCGTTTACGATATCTCCCTTCTTCAAGGAAGTCTGGCTCGCCGACTTTGGCGGCAACATCAACAAGGCGTTGGCAGTGCTCATGCTCAGCAGGCGGCTGCTGATCTGGTTTCCTGTACTGGTGGCTTCTGGGAAGGCTTTTCCCGGGGTCCACGCGAGGACAGCACGATGGTACTCAGGTCTTGGGTCCAGACGCAGATCTTGGGATATCTGTGATGAAGACAAGTGAGTGAGTGTTTGAGGTTGTATGATGCCCTCTGCAGTGTTGAAGCAATATCATGGTAGGGTGAGGACCTTGAATTAAACGTATTGTAATTTAGGAAATACTGAAATACTGGTAATGTGTCTCTAACAGATCAAAGAGAACAGATGTACATTATTGTGATAGTTTTGATTCATGAAAATACCATCAGTTGGCGTATGTGAGTTCAATAATCCTAATGAGCAGTCTTTCAGAGGCCTCACAGTGAGTAGGTGTAATGAGGGAGGTTGTAGATGTTCATTCTCGTGACATTAAGGGGTGGGTCTGGTGGAAGAAAACCAAGGATCGTAAACATGACACTGGAGGGGAATGTGGGATTGAAAATCATGACCAGAAGATCCTGGAATGTAGGGATATAGCTCTCGCAGCACATGAGACCCATCGGCCATAGGGACTTAAACACCACCCACAGGACCTCCACAGGACCTCCACAGGAACAACACAGCAACATCTCCAGACCACCATCTTGGCAACCTCTCTCATGTATTGTACCCCGAGACCTCTACAGCAACAACACAGCAACATCTCCAGACCACCATCTTGGCAACCTCTCTCATGTATTGTACCCCGAGACCTCTACAGCAACAACACAGCAACATCTCCAGACCACCATCTTGGCAACCTCTCTCATGTATTGTACCCCGAGACCTCTACAGCAACAACACAGCAACATCTCCAGACCACCATCTTGGCAACCTCTCTCATGTATTGTACCCCGAGACCCCTACAGCAACAACCCAGACACCCACCTTAGCCTGCAGCACAGTCCTCCTGGGTTGAGTGCTGCCTGACATCTTGGCCACGACAGGGATGACATACAGGTTACATGTAACTATGGCCGACACGGGGTTGCCAGGAAGACCGAAAAACAATTTCCTCTTTCCATTGTGCTCTAATGTGGCAAATGATGTTGGCTTTCTAGAGGCGAAAAAAAGAGGCAGTGAGTGTGTGGTCACATATATATATATAATGTCTGGAAAGGTGTGCTATCTCGGTTTTAAATTTTATTTGATTTGTATGTTGGTGGTGGTGGTGGGATAAAACAAGGACCATCTTTTAATGTCTTTTGACATGACACAGCCAGGGGATCAAACCACCGACCTTCCACTCTCTCCACTACTCCGCAGAGGCGGTTGCATTTTGTATGAAAATAGACAAGAAGGCCATTTCTTATTGTATCATTGAGATTTACTTATGAATGAGTGCCTGAGAGCCCAAAATAGTATCTTTCTCTAAAGCCATAAGTATTACAAACTCATTAAGACTGTTCAGTAAGGCAAGCAAGGGGGCCACACTATGTCCACTGCTGCTATAAAACCTCACCCTGGCTTCATGAAGACTCTGCCAAAGTGGATGTCAGCACCAAAGTCCTTGTGTAGAACCTGCTTTAGGTAGTCCTGCAGACAGAACAGTAAGGAAATTAACATAGAGCAGTTTCAATTTAGAGGTTTCAAACAGATCTGAAACTCATAGATTCCAATCGATATTGACTCCAACAGCATGAGGTTTGGAAATTATTATGAACTGAACTCACAGTAGGTTTATCTCCATTCATTCATTCATACAAATAAATGCAAATTATTTTGTGATAGAAGAATTATGCAAGCCTAATGTTTTGTAAGGTAGAACATTCCTATTCTAGGATAACCTGAAAAACAGAAGCAGCCCCATCCATCCTCACCTCTTTCTAAATGCCCCAAATTAAGCTGACAATACTAATATCTATCAATAGTCTTCTTGGACCCCTAATGTCTAACATAAACCCAAATCATACCTATGCCACAAACTACTCTAATAATAAATTTAAATGTAAGCAATTCTGGTTCATCACTTCCGTCTTTAGGAATACACTTGCCCAATGACGTTCAACATGCAAACAGAGAGTCCCAAGCCCAGCTTATATTGAAGACCACTTCAATAGTGACAATGGAATCAACTGGTGTAGACACTGCAAATTAGCATGTGTTCTTACTCATAAAAACAGAATCAAACTGTTTCCAAGAAAACATAAAAAAATAAATTTTGAAAATTTAAGGTGATGGGCAATGCATATGCCAAATTTCGTTAAAAAACATTGAACAGTTTTGTTTTCAAGTTATGTCTCGGAATAGGATGGGAACACTGACGTCGAGAACAAATGCAACCCTTTACTGCTTGAAACTTGCTTAGGTACATGTATATATATTTGCTCAACATCAACTGTCTACTTACCCTCTCTCCCATGGACACGCCCCCTGTTGTCACAATCACATCAGCACTGTCAACAGCCCTTCGTAAAGCCTTCATCAGTTCATCGGGACTGGAGACGGATAAAAAAACGAATGTGCAAGTGAAATAGTAAACGATAATCTTACTTGATGCAGATGTCATCCCTTTCAATCATACCGTACTCGGAAAGTAATCTCCTTAATTTCGACATGACACACAAAAACCAGGAATTGTTTTGCGGGCACTGGCTCATTACCTTAAATCCTGTGCATCATTTTTACTGCCACTGAACAGAAAGTCGAATCTGTTATCCATGCTTGACAACTGACATTAAACTAAACAGCTGAGTTCAGTGTGTGTCGAGATGTGTTTGATGGTATTCTTGATGTGAAAAAAAAGTATTACTACCACCTCCCTCACTTTTGAGATAAATGTGCCTAAGAAACATATTTTGGGGGACCACATTAATGATTGTCTCATCAGTGATTCTTCTAGTGTTTGTCGTGGGCCATGCGTCGGCCATAGGAAATGAATGCTACTTGGATTACAGTAAATCACTCTCATAGTTGTTATTAAACGATGCAGTCAGAATTATTCCAGCTGTATCACAGCCTGTTGATAATCAGACAAATCTGTGGTAGATATTATGATCAACAGCACATGCAAATGGGTTATGTTGAACACATTTAACCAATTCACCAAGCCTTAGTCGCCCCATAGTAGAGGCAAGTTTCTGTAATCTTGCCCATACTATTCAGATAGCTCCTACATAACACATGCAAACCTACCTGTCCCTTGCTACCCCGAGATCCACTGTAGGGACTCCATAGTCCTTCAGCTGAGACAGCAGGGATGTACGGTTGCTGTCACGGATCTTCCCCTCTACCACAGGATCTTCCGGTTCCAGGAGCTGAGCAGAGACACAAGATACCACTAGCAGAGTGTTTGTTTGTTTAACACTGAAAAAATCTAGCTATACAACGACAGGCTGCAATAATTCATCTTCCTGAGGCAAGAGAGTTAAGTGACTTTAAAAGTCCATTTTTCACCCTTGCCGAACTAGGCCTGAATTCCTGGGCTCGACCACCAGTGGCTATTACGAGTTATGTCCCTTCTAAGCCTCTCCTATGGACCAATCAGATTTCAGCTCTCGTATCACTTGCATTTGCTTCAAACAAAATGGCGGCACCCCGTCAAGACGATCAAATCGATAATCAAGATCTATTTTGTGATAAAATGGGTCTTGCATCGCGAAGTGCATCATTTCAAGTGAGCACATTGATTAAAAACATGAAAAGATTTGGGAAATATCTGTTGACAAGGCGTTGGCGGTGTGAATCCTTTGCAAATCCTGTTGCACAACAGTTTACGAACCGGATTTCGATTTCGTTGCGTGATTTTGATTGGACTATGCATAGACTCATTAGTCCAGTCAAAATGTAACTCCATAATTCCAGCATAGTTTGGCAAGGGTGGAAACTGGTCTTTTATAGTCAGTTAACTCCATTGCCTCTGGAAGATGGCAATAATTAGTCTGGACCAGACTTTCTAGTCATCGACATTGAGTGTGGGTCCATGACGATGAAATGCAATCAACCAAGTCACTGCCTGAGTCTGACCACCTAATCCATTTGGTCACGTCTGATGACTAGCAGAGGTTGCTGGGGATCTATTTTAACCTGGAGTGTGTGATTGAATGATCTTTTATGTCACAATCAGATCCTTGGTTCCCATGATTTTTGTACTCGAGAATCTTTTCTACCCCAAATTGGGTTCAAACTGGATTCTCGACAGAAAAACAACAACCCCAGCAATTCCGACCTTTTATGAGTAAATTCAGAAGCAAACTTTTTAATTACATATCACACTCACAATTATGTGTTCTAATCACAATCAGTAGATTTTTTTGTAAAATAATAATACTTAGAAAAGGTTGATTCTGTTTATTCAAACAAGTGTCAGACACTAACAAGTTTTCGTATGTGTCAAATTCAGAAAATATTATGACATTTTGATTCGAAAAGAAAAATCAATCGATACCTGAACAAATGGATACATATTTCAATAAAATTTTGTATCGATATATATTTACATGTATCTCGTATTGTATCGTGAGAATTATCTACCGATGCATCAGTACAATCGGTGAATCGTGACATCCCTAACATCTTGTATATAATTGTAAACAAGACCACACTTATATCTGCATCTTTATCATTATTCATATGGAAGACTAAAGTTCCCTTAATCAAACCAACAACATGCAGACTGTAATTGGGCTGTCCCATAACCTGAAAGTGTGAGTGAAAACTGACCTCATTTCCTGTGGACATGACCCCAACAGTTGGCCTCCTGTAGCAGCTGACCGATGTCACCCCAACCGTCGCTAGTAGCCCCAACTCAGAAGGACCCAGCTTATGTCCTTGACCCAACACCTTTTGACCTTTCTCAATGTCCGAACCAACTGGTCTGAAAACAAAACACAACACAAGTCAGGAAAGGAATGTACTTACTGTTTCCTAAACATTGTATTAATGGCCCTGAGTCCAAGATTCTTAACTAATATAATCACTCTGCTCCAAATTATCATTCATTGATCATAACCAGTATAAGGCATAATGCATATTTTATAGATTGCAGTTATCATGATTCAATTTTTTTAATATCTTATAAGCTGCATTTTATTGATGAGAATATTTATGCAAAATTAGTAGATGAACACTCAAATATTAATCCAACATGTAATATCAAATATTACTTTCTGCAGAATTGATTATGGACACCTTCAGTTCATCTTTGCATCTGTCTGAGGTAACTGCTCAATCATCTAATCATCAATAACATAAGATCATGGGAATACCATTCAAACATAGCAACACATATCTGATCCATTTCTCTTTCAGATAATATAAAATGTTATGATCACATCACAATGACAGACCTCCACAAAACCCAGGCCTGTTCTACTAACGTGCTTTAGTTAGTACCTGATATCCTGGGCTTTCTTTGGAACCGTCATTAGTTTAATCTCCAGTTCTTCCTGTCCGTCCTCTGAGTGTTTGGTGAGGACGGTGTCCTCCACCTGTATCACGGCATCAGCACCAGGTGGAAGCGGGGCACCCGTGTTGATACGCATACAGTAACCAGGGGTTACCTCCCTTGTTGGCTGAAACATCACAGCCATTGTATCCTTAATGGATGGAGTTTACAGTGAGTGAGTTAGTTGGGTGAGTTATATCGCAGCGTGTCAGCTTAATATGGGAGGAAAGTCCGAAATGATGCAGGTCTCAGACGTTTACCACTTCGGTGAAACCCACGAGCATGGGTATGGTGCTGACAAACCAAGAAACATAATCGGGGCGAACCGGGATTCGAACCCACAATCATAGGTTTCTGGCGTGCCCAAGGAACGCAACTCTGCACAGCAAATCGTGGTGCCTTAGACGACTGGGCCACCCCTACACCCCGATGGAGTTTACAAGTGGACCATATATAATCATTGGTAGTCAAACTTCAAAACAAACTTTCCATCATTTCCAAACATTGTGTAGAATTGTTTACTTGCAGATGTTCCATCAGAAACACTGATATTTTCCTTTCTGATCTGTGTCCCATGCAAATAAATATTTGAATGTTGTCGACACTGCTGATGAGAAGTAAAGTTAGATCAGGCTGGGGTTTGTTTCTGTATCAACAGTCAGCACCCTGATTAGGTAGTAATGACAAATAGTTCCCACGGTTTGGTCGAAGCAGCATCTACATCATTTCAAAGTTTAAGAAATAATGAGTGAGTATGGTTTTACGCCGCTTTAAGCAATATTCCAGCAATATCATGGCGGAGGACACCAGAAATGGGCTTCACACAATAAAGAAATAGTATCATTCCACATAACTATAAGCAATACCATCTCTTTGCTTATATTACAGCTTTGTCCCTCTCACCTCCCAAAAGGAAATGTGAGTGAGTGAGTGAGTGAGTGAGTGAGTGAGTGAGTGAGTGAGTGAGTGAGTGAGTGAGTGAGTGAGTGAGTGAGTGAGTGAGCGAGCGAGCTGGAATTAAACTGACCACATCTCCTGCTGTGGAGTCCCCTATGACCTGCCGTAGTCCGTCCCCATCCGAGGCTGAAACATGGACCCTAATTGTGAGAGACAGCTTCTCATACAATCAAACACAAAGCTATACATTTTCACAAACACACACACACACGTTATCAACTATTGAATGGAAGCTCTCAGACTATTATAAACCATATAATTCAGCAAATTATTAATTTAAAAATATGTTAAGTAAGTAACATTATGCATTCATTATTAGTTACATTTTCAGACTTTATTTTGCAGTCAAAGTTAGGGAGTTAAATATTCATATATCATATCATATATTGACTATGGAGCTGTACATTATATCTATACAAAGATAAGTAAAATGCATTGTGCCCTTATCTTGTTTAACTCCACACTCAGCCAAACCAGTGACTGGCATTACGTGCAACATCTCATTTGTTTGTTGTTTAACGCCACACACAGCAATATTCCGGCGGTCTGTAAATATTCGAATCTGGACCAGACAATCCACTGATTGACATTATGAGCATCATCAACGCAATTGGAAAACGATGACATGCATCAGTCAAGCGAGTCTGACCACCCAAACCCGTTAGTCCCCTCTTATGACAAGCATAGTCACCTTTTACAGCAAGCATGAGTTGTTGAAGACCTTTTCTAACCTGGATCTGCATGGGACACAACATCTCAAACCGTTGGGGCACAATAACATGCAATGAACCAAGTCAACAGGCTTAATCACACAATCAATTTGGTCTCCTCTTACGACAAGCATAGCTTATTGGAGCTTTTACAACAAGCATAACTTATTGGAGCCATATTCTAACACAGATTCCCAATGGATAGTGGACAAATGTAGGGTAGTATACCTATGACTGCATAACCATCTTTGATGGAGGCCGGGAACGGAGGAAGAGGATCTCTGGCGAAAACATCCTCAGCGAGATACCGCCCCAAACCGTCTGAAACATGCAAATGACATTTGAGAACAGTACGCTGCTTTTCTCCAGGAAACAGACAACTGGATTAGTAATAAGAAGATTCTATTGCTTTGGTACTACAAATGACATTAGGATCTGTTTTCTACATAGTTCTAATTTTGTTTGTTTGTTTGTTGTTTAAAACAGCACCCAGTAATACTCCAGCTATATGACTGTGGTCTGTAAATAATCGAGTCTGGACCAGACAATCCTCGTAATGTGAGGAATGATTCACGCTGTCGGGGCAAATGTTAGCAATCAACCATGTCGGCAAGCCTAACCACCAATCCATGAGATCACCTCTTACGACAAGCTTAGGTTGCTAGGGAACTAAGCCCCATGGTTAAACAGTTTTAGTACATTCATGATAGAATGAAAACAATGAAAGAATCTACAGTGAATCAAATCTGTGATTACAAATCCTTATGCCTCAGCAAAAAGGATTACTGCTAACAATTTGACACCTGAAATATACCACTCAAATTTAGTTTGAGAAATTTCATACTGTCTTGTACTTCTAAAAATGCTGAAAATGTCCCAGTAAATACTATTCATAAGACAACATCTCAAAGCAATCAGTCACATTCAGTCCATTACGTGGAAACATAATATATACCTGAATGAACTATACGTATATACCTGAATGAACTATACTTATATACCTGAATGAAATACATCAGCTAGCACAGTCATAGTGTGCATAAAAAAATGTTGAGAGTATTCCCTTTTTTTATTCTTAATTTCTCCATATTACTGGAATTCAATATTCATATCAGCTGTCAAGGCCTGTGTCTCACCTCTGAAACTGATGGTCTCTGCGGACAACACAGGGGCCTTGTCCAACACAGTGTTGACAGCCTCGTCCACCTGGATGATGGGGTACGGGGACTCGCGGGGGCGGTAAGCGATGCAGCTAGCGTCCACCTGGCCTTATTCACATATACAGAACATATCAAGAAATGTTTCAAATACTAAGGCTGAAACAAGAAAACTTACATCCCCAAGTGTCTTGTTAACCTGTATGTTGTATTTGTTATATTTATGTAACACTTATCTAAATGAACTTCTGCTCTGTCTTATGTTATATGTTAAACTCAACTCGAACTTACTTTTGACATTGTGATGATGTCCGTCACCATGGTTAGCATGGCTGTGATGATGGTGATGATCACCATTGCCATGGTGATGATTCTGTCCATAACTGCCATGGTGATGATCGTGACCATTGTTGCCATGGTTGTGATCGTGTCCATGGTTGCCATGGTGTCCATGGTTGCCATCGTGCCCATGGTGATGGTGATGATGCTTGTGTCCATGGTGGTGTTTCTCTTGATGGTGATTACCATGGTGATGATGACTGAGATGCTCTTCAGTCCCGACCTATTGGAAGAAATAAGAGTGGTTATTTCTTTATGGTTGCCAACTCATCATGTCTCAGGATGGAAAATTTTCTTGCAAGCCAGTCAATGAAGTGCATTGACAAACATATGTGCAGCATGAACACCACGTATACCAGATTACCATTCCTGTTCCCTGTTCAATTCTACCTTTGCAAGTGGAACACCTGATGTCCCAATACATGCTTTTCCTCATCTTCCCGAGGCAAGGAAGTCAACTGACTCTAATAGTCCAGTTTCCACCCTTGCTGAACTAGGCTGGACTTATGGAGTTCTGTTTTGGCTGGACTAATGAGTCTATGCATAGTCCAATCAAAGTCGGGTAACAAAATCGACATCTCATTCTTCATGCAGATTTCGGTCAACTGGCAGATTTGTAAAGCATGTGTTCCACCAACTCCGAGTCAACAGATAGTTTCCAATTCCTTTCATGTTTCTAATCAAAGGTGCTCACGTGATTTGATGCACTACGCGAAGTAAGACTCGTTTTATTACAATATAGATCTTGATTATGGATCAGATCGTCTTGAGATGGAATCGAATTGGTTAATAGGAAGGACAAAGAAGGGACATAGCCCATAGTAGCCACTGGAGGCGCTACGATCAAGCCTAGTAATTCCAGACTGATTCGGCAAGGGTGGAAACTGGACTTTTATGGTCAGTTAACTCCCTTGCCTCAGGAAGATGGCTTTTCATTGGACTGCATAGTATTACCTGTGTACCTGTAAACTGAAATAAGCTTTTCAAACAATACGTATTGCAATATTTTTGTGTTCTTGTAAGTATCGTTATTATTTATTATTATTTAAACCTACAATCTACACAGACATTTATTCACAAATGATGTTTCCCTTTGAAACTGATTGTGATTTTTCAAGTTATCTCTGCTGTATCTATGACAACAAAATGGCAGCGACTGACCATGCTGAGTAATATTTACCTTATGTTAACAGTGGGGCGGTTGGGTAGCATAGTGGTTAAAGTGTTCACTCGTCACACCGAAGACCCGGGTTAGATTCCCGACATGGGTACAATGTGTGAAGCCCATTTCTGGTGTCCCCCACCGTGATATTGCTGGAATATTGCTAAAAGCGGCGTAAAACCATACTCACTCACTTATGTAAACAGTATGTAGAGAACAGGATCTACATGTTCACTGTCACACACTTTAGCGCCCAATATATCGCAATAGGTATTGCAATACAATTTTTGGCCAATACCCATCCCTTGTTTTCATGGTTATTTATCACGTTTGTTTAGCAGTTTGTCTTATCTCAGCCTGTCACTTTGTTTGTTGCTTAATGCTGCACTCAGCTATATGACGATGGTGTGTAAAAGATTGAGTCGATCCATGCAATTTGTATACAATGACATGTCAGCAAGCCTGAACACCTGATCCCATTAGTCGGCTCTAATGGCAAGCATGGGTTGCTGACCCCCTTGTAAACAACAGGCATTAAAACACCAACAATTACATGATAGTTTGTTAAACAGCTTTTTCTACCCATCATGACAATGTCTGAAATTAAGGTGAATGTCATGCCATTTAAAACAAATTATATCTAGTTTGCCTTCCATTGGTACGATTTGGCTGCAAACAGACTATAATACGAAAACATGACCATAATATTCTTTTTTTATTGATATTTATCAGTTCTGTTTTTCTGACATCTCTGGTACTTTGTTTTACCGGTAATGGTACACATGCTGAGTGATCCAACTGTGTAATGTTTTTTATGTAATATTTAATAATGAAACTGATTTTTACTCCTGTTACACTCTATTTTTTGTTACTTCTAATACACCTATTTATAATTCAAATGATGTCAAAATACACAATTGTGATGAATGGCATAGAGAACCTTGAAAATAGAAATGTTTCAATTAATTGCCAGTATTAAAAATTCAGAAATATCGTAATTTGAGTTTTTACCTTTGTTCTTATATTTCAGTATAGAAGCACATAAAGTGCTCAGTTTCCAAACCTTATCTTTGACAATCACCATTTTTCATTCTCGTGAATTTTCACAAATGTCAAACCAAGTCGTACCAATTCATCAAGACAATCTTGTCTAGAGGTCATGTATTCCAAGTTAGGGGATTATCCAATCACAAAATCTCAAGTTGCTTTGTCTGCTTGTTTAATAAGTGAGTGAGCGAGTTGAGTTCAATGCCACTTTGAACAGTATCCCAGTTATATCATGGTGTGTCAGCTTAATGTGGCAAAAAAAAACAAGTGATGCAGGTCTCAGACATATACCACTTTGGTGAAAACCTGGAAATATAAATGTGGTGAACTGGGATTTGAACCTACAAGAATAGGTTCCTTGTGTTTCCAAGGGACATAACTCTGCACAGTAAATTGCGGCACCTTAGACTCGGCCACCCGTGCCTCTTTTTAAGCAAGTAGTGACATTGAAGATCCAAAACAGTCAATAACATGCAGTCAACATACATAAGTGTTGTTTAAAACATGTACACTCTTACCATGCTTACTGGTGCAGTAAGCATTTCATTTCACACTTATTTCAGACAACGGCCACTGTGACCATTTTGATTTTGTTCACAAAAAAGTGTACATGATTATTTATCTTTCCACATTCCTAATCATATTACAGGTATGTCTTTTGAATGCATGCTTTGGTCCAAATCAGTAAGAATACCACAGTAACTAAAAGCAGATGACATAAACAAACTTAAGAATTTATCTCCCCAAGGTCCATTTCATTTTGAAAACATCTGGAGATCAGCGTCTTACATAATTAATTCAAGATACAAAGTTACGGCTGTTATGTTCCAAATGTTATGCCAACAGTTGAGTAATTCAAGCGGGGAACATAAGAAATGTACCTTACATGTTTGCGGGGTACATTGAAAATAATAGAAGGAGTCTCAGCCAATCAGAATCCGATATTCATGTTTAAGGTGAGATGAGTGAGTGAATTAGGTTTAATGCCGCCTTTAACATTATTCCAGTTATATCACAGCGTGTCAGCTTAATGTGGGAGGAAAGCCTGAAAGGTTGCAGGTCTCAGATGTATGTCTACCACATGGCCAAGAGACCCATGACAAAAGCACACTTGTGTCAAGATAACTGAAGACGATAATCAATATTCATGTTTTACGTCACAATACGCATAATGAGGTGAGGAGATATGGTGTTAAATGTCACTTTCAAGATTATTTCCCTCACACATTCCATTCTCCAAGCAAATGCACGTGACTAATTGAATATGAAAACTTCAATGAAAAAATCAAACACATCACCTAATGTGAAGACACCATTTAATGTCCAATACATCAAATCAAAACAGTGGCTTTACAATTGCACAGCCAATAAACTTTAACATACAGAGTTTAAGAACTCGTTTATACAGTAAATAATTCATAATGTGGTTGAACTTTTGGAAGCATTTCAGGCTTTTGAGGCAAGTGAGACCGGTGGAACTGTTGGGACACACACACAGCCCCTGCAGTTAACATTGGATGATAGCGCTGCAGTTGGATTGAATGCATCTTCCAGAGGCAAGAGAGTTAACGGACTATAAAAGTCCAGTTTCCACCCTTGCCGAACTAGGCTGGTATTATGGAGTTACATTTTGGCTGGACTAACGAGTCTATGCATAGTCCAATCAAAATCGTGCACCGAAATTGAAATCCGGTTTGTACACAGTCGTGCAGATTTGGTTGATAGCAGGATTTGAAAAGCATGTGCACCGCCAACTCGTTGTCAGCAGATATTTTCCAAATCTTCTCATGTCTTTAATCAAGGTGCTCACGTGATCTGATGCATTTCGCGATGTAAGACCCATTTTATCACAATATAGATCTTGATTATCGTTCAGATCGTCCTGACCGGGCGCCACCATTTTGTGTGAAGCAAACGCAAGTGATACGAGAGGTGGAATCTGATTGGTCCATAGGCGAGGCTTAGAAGGGAAATAACTGGTAATAGCCACTGGTGGCGCCACAATCGAGCCCAGTTATTCCAGCCTAGTTCGGCAAGAGTGGAAACTGGACTTTTAAAGTCAGTTAACTCTCTTGCCTTGGGAAGATGGATTGAATGAAGCATGAACATGATTCAGTGTTTGATAGCACTTCAAAACTCACAAGGCCAGCAACCAGTGATCAATTAACTATCAAAGATTTCTAACGGTGACATGAAAGGGTGCGTTTATGAGTTGTCTTGTGTCATTTTGAACATATTTCAGTTATGTCATGATTGTTAATCAACAGCTTTCCTCGGGTAATAGAGATTTGCAGCAATAATCATTCTCATACTACAAGTTAGTCCCAATAGACTGTTGTTTAGCAGTCCGGGGACATCTACTGACTAGCCATGCAACATATGCAATCAATTAACTCGAGCACCACAAGCACATTATTAGTGAGGAAACATTTCTAACATATTGTAAAGTGTATAGGGATAATAATTCAGTGAATAGATAGGACAGAGGGCAATTTCTTTTCTCACTGCAATTAATAATAATAATAATAATAATAATAATTAAAGTGTTAAAAGTTGTTGGTGATCGTGGTTTTAGCTATACTCAGCAACCAAATGGTGTAAATAATCGTATCTGGGCCAGGCAAACCAGTGGTCAATAAGGTGAGCATTGATTCAGGGGAAGTGTATCACATAATCTGTTTTAGTATCAGGGACATACACACTCCTGCATGTCTGTATCACAGAATTAGAGATTCTCATCTGTCAACAATGTTGTTGCCTTTATTGCGTTCTGGAACGGGCCATGAGAAAAAAATTGGGAGGAGGGGGGGGGATTTATTTTTTTTTAAATTCGGAAAATACTGGAAACAAAAAAATTTGCCTCTGGTTTTAGACTGGACATACTGAATGTTCAGTAAAGAATTGTTTGGCTTCTTGAAACAGTGTCTCTTAATAAAATTCCGAGGCCCCCAACAAAGATCAGTGATGCACCTTGGAACCAGCCCACTAGTCCCAAGGGGTGGTAGTCTTTATAA